AGAGTGCAGGATTTCAGCGGCATCTGATGCTGCACGTGTTGCAGTTATTATTGGTATCTTTAAGGTGTGAGTTGATTTTATTTTCCTTATTTATACTAAAATTGTTATATGTAGAGCCCTTGTTTTTTGCAGTGTTGCTATAATTGTTTTTCTTTTTGCGTTATGTTTTTCTGGTTATTTTTTAGGACATCTCTTGCCCTTGTACTTTAGTAGGATATCCTTAAAAACTCACCTTCAGCATTTCACAATTCTCAACCATTGCAGCATAGAAATCTTAATTTTTTATTTTTTTAAGCAGAATTCATTAAGTTACTTGTATCTAGAGTTTCATTTCAGCCAACTACATTACCTGTCAAATTTCACATCAAACAGAATTGCATGTATAGAAAAACCACTGCTACTGATGCGGCATGAAAGATCCTTTTAGTAGAGAAGCTGTTGAGGAGTGTGTATGAGATACAAACCTTCCAATTAAGCTATGCAGTCAAACACTCTAAATTGGAATACCTTGTTCCATAGCCATATTCCATCGTCATGCTTGTTTTTTTTGCAAAAACTGCCTTCAAGTTGCAAACATATTGAAGAAAGATGTGATAAATGTCAGATTATTCTCTATGCAATTGAAATGATTGTGTCTAATGGTTACCTTGAAATTTGGTGCAACCTTGTCTGTTAAGACCTCTGTGAATGCTGTAATGTGTCAAACTGATTAATTTACATGATGCACTTACATCCTTTTAGTTTATATGTAATTTATGATTAAAACTCTTATTTTGGCTTCAAAATTGAAATGAGGACCATGTCTCCTTACATTTGGAGAGTCATTTTATGCTAATGTAGATGATACTGTTATTATACTTGACAAATGCTAAAATACTTTCTATTCGATGTTTATTTAATTTTAAAGGTTCTTTAATTCTTTGTACTCTTACCTCGTCTAGGCTCTGTTGCAGGCTTGGATGGTTTTACTTGTCTTCTAGTGCTCCATTTATAGAATTATATTGTTCTTTGCTACTCCTGCAGTTACTAATGACTGGCATAGCTGTGGCAAAAGTGGACAGTCTTGGAAGACGCCCTCTCTTGATAGGGGGTGTAAGTGGAATTGTAAGCATCCTTCAACTTCCTAAGACAGTTATTAGAATGTCTGTGGAGGTATTTCTTCTCCGCCTCTAGCTTCTTTTGGAAAGAAAAAAAGAAGAAGAAAAGGCAGTCGAAGACTATTTTTGGATAAGCTCTATGTTGACGTCGACCACAATTATTTTTCTTCAAAATATTAAATATAATGACGATTACTGACTCCTATGTGGTACAGGTCTTCTCATTGTTCCTTCTGGCTGCTTATTACAAAATTCTCCAGGGCTTCCCAGTTGCTGCAGTTGTGGCTCTGTTACTGTATGTTAGTTGTTACCAGGTAACTTTTCCTCCCTTTAAATTGGTAAAGTACAGAATAAGACCATTTATCGCTCTATACAAGGAGGTCAAAATTGCCAGCAACCGTTAGATTTAGAATTGGACAGTTGGGGTTGTGTGATTGACCAAGCTCAAAGTTCAAAAGAAATTTTCTCGATCTTTGCAACATATCCTAAGCTTTAGAATTGACATCTGATAGTTTAGAGCGATTATGACCTCCTTGTACCAAAGGAAAATAGTCTAATAGTATACAATCTCCTTTAGATTTGGCTTGTCATCTATGCCAAATTTAGTAGGATGTACAATTGTTTCCTTTTCTATCAAAAATATCGGCAATAAAAAGAATGCTGTCATGACAATATTTTCTTGGGTTTGAATCTCTGTTTAATGTCACGATGTAATTCTCATTTTCATTAAGGTATCGTCGCCAGGTAATTTTTTCTACCTGCAGTAATATCAAGAACACATTGAGAGGCCTTAAGCCCATTAGGGTTTGTATAAACATTCAAAGGAGGCCCCCCACGGAAGTCAAGATCTTTCTGGAAGGAATTTATAGTCTTTGCCCCCTTTAAGATGCTGTGACAATTAAAGATATATAATTTGTTTTGGTGAATTTCTATCTTGATGGGTGTGCCAAAGTGAGTGCTTTTTTAATATGCATAGGGTGAATTGCATGTGTTCTCTTTCTAATTTTTCTTATTTTCTTTTGTTTTTCAAATGAGCTAGGGTGTCCATTGTATTTTGGGGAACCTTTCTATGTGCCATTAGATATGGGAAAATTATATATGCCTCCCCTCTCCCAGTTGTGAAATCTGATTGGTTGAGATGACTTCAATCACAATGTCCCGCCTCAAAACTGTGTTATTTATTTTTTTATTTTTTACAAATCATATGAACATGAAATTTGGAGTGTGGGATCCTTTCATATGGGGGCTCCTAAAAAAAAATTCGGACAAGTTTCATGTTCATTTGTTTTGTTAGAATGATTTTATAAATTTTAGGTGCCCCCCTATGAGAGGATCCGACACCCCAAATTTCATGTTCATATCATTTGTAGAACTAAATTGAAAATAAAATACTCTGAGCCATCCATTCAAAATCAAGATTAAATGATCAGAGGTTCATTTATGACATTTTTTTTTTTGGGTAATTCAGTGGGGAAGACAGGCCCCTACCCATTTTTTCAATAGATTAGGGAGTTAACATTTTGAAGGTGTTAATTGGGGGTGCAGCGGTAGGAATGGATACCACATTATCGCTAAAGCTATCCGCAACCGTCCATATGATTTTCCTATACCTAGCGGCTTATGGAAAGGCTTCCATTGTATTTTACTTATTGCATGGTGGTATTGTTTGAAAGGTTTATTGTTGTGTTACAACCACCTCAATGACCGTTCTTGGTAGTGTCATGAAGGGATGCACTTGGAGGGTCATTAGATGGCTTTGGGGAGAGAAGGTGGAGTCAATTGTTATTATGAGAGGATCTTGGACAAATTTCGGGCAAAACAAGTGATGGATTTTAGTTTTTCTTGTAGGAAGTTCCTTGGCATCTCCATTCATATCCCTCAATCTGGATGCTGAAGCTTGTTGGCTCTTTAGTTTGTGTATATTTAATGGAAAATATTTTATCAGAAACTTCTCATTAAGGAAGTTATACCTGTGGTTAATCATGTCTTTTATAATCGTATGTTTAGATCCATATCCATTGGGTACAACAGTGAGTTCCTACACTAGTTAATCATTCTCCTTTTGTCTCGTTGTTTTATCTGTCATTCATGTTCAACCAATATGGAAAATGTTCAGATGTTTGGTTGGTTTTGTTGTTTGATTAGGTTTGGTATGCAATTTTCTTATTTGTAGTATAATATGGAGCTCACTGAGCTGTTATGGCCAATGAATATCAGATATCCTTTGGCCCAATCAGTTGGCTGATGGTTTCGGAGATCTTTCCTCTGCACACTAGAGGGCGTGGAATAAGTCTAGCAGTTCTCGCTAACTTTGGCTCAAATGCAATAGTCACATTTGCTTTTTCACCATTGAAGGTACTTCTTCACCCCCTTCTCTCTCTCTCTCTCTCTCTCTCTCTTTGAGTGCTATTACATCTCAGAATTCCGGTAAATCCCTTTCTCGCACTACCCTTAACTTTCATCATTGGACCAAGATAACATGGGTTTGCGTGTGACTCGGGCAGTAATTTTATTTCCGTGCCTTGCGTAAACGATCATGGTCATTTAACCATCAGCCATTACACCCCTCATCCAACAAAAGGGAGGGAACATTGTATTATTTTTTTAGCTGTTTACTTTGACAGTTTTTTTGCCAGCCTTTTTCCTAATCTCCCTCAGTTATCATGTTCTTAAATTGAGAATATTGTTGTTTTGAACAAACAAAACCATTGATAACGTTGATATTATCTCTTTTCTAGTTAGAGAAGCTTCTTTGTTGCATTTGGGAAAAATGTTGGTTGCCTTTAGTTATTGATAAGATTGTTTGTGATTTGACAAATTTTGCAGGAGTTGCTAGGAGCAGCCAACCTATTTGCATTATTTGGGGGCATAGCAATGTTGTCGCTCTTGTTTGTCATCTTTTACGTCCCTGAGACGAAAGGATTGAGCCTTGAAGAAATAGAGTCGAAGGTCTTACAATGAAATCCCTGTCTTCAATGGCGTGGCCTCCATTCTAATATATTTGTAGCTTTCCTCAGAGGCATCCATTCTCAACTCAGTTATCAGTAACTCGGTTGAATTGTAATGTAATTTATCTTAATAAAGTTTGGTTTGATCTCCCTCGGTACAAAAATAATGCACCACGTTTCAAGAATACAAAGCAGGATTTACAGTTAATGCTCTCTCTCTCTCTCTCTCTGTGTCTCTCTCTCATGCATGTATACATGGATTTGCAGGAGTATCAGGAAAACATTTCTTCCACTTATAAGGAGATAGTTCACAAGATACCACTTATATCCCACATTAACAGTTTTAAGAGATGGGAAAGCTTTCTATTTGCTACTAGGTGAGCAAAATTTCTATATGCGACTCTCTCGCTCACTCGCTCTCTCCCAGATCCCAATGGATGGATAGGATAGTTTTAGCCATTATGTCATAAGTGAGCAACTAATCGTTCGATCTAGATCTAACAATTTAGAATATTTTATTTTTATTTTAACAAACCATATGAACATGAAATTTGGTGCATTTCACCATCTCAATGAGGTGCGCCAAAAATAACAAAAATTTTTTTTTTCAAAAAATAAAATACTCAAACTACCCTTTAAAATTTTTAGGAGTATTTTGGTTATTCCATTTTATCTGGAATGTTTTTTTTTTAAAATATCTTTCATCGGTGCGAGCTTACGAGAGGATTGGACGACTCAAATTTGGTGTCAATATCATTTCTAGAAAAAATATTAAAATAAAATAGTATTTAGATGTGACATTGTGATTAAGGCCACTTATGTTTTGTGTTAACCCTCCCGAAATTCAAACTGTTAGGCACGTTTTGTGTTAACCCTCCCGAAATTCATGCTGCTAGGAACTTAGATATGATACATCAGTAGTATGAGGTATAATATTGGCGCATCATTGACGTCCAGGGCATCCATTATATACGACTTTTTTTTTTTTAGTAATTTAATAGAGATGACGAGCTCCTACCTGTTTTTTAAATCTTTAGTGGTATTCATGATATATCACTTTTTTTTTGGGTAATTAGGTGGAGATGACGAGTCCTTACCTGATTTTGAAATCTTTAGTGGTATCCATGGTATACCACTTTTTGTTTGGGTAATTCAGTAGGGATTATGAGCCCTTGCCCATTTTTTAAATCCTTAGTGGTTGTATCTATGATACTTTTTTTTTTTTTGGGTAGTTCAGTGGAGATGACAAATACCTATCTATTTTTGAAATCTTTAGTGGTATCCATGGTATACCATTTTTTTTTAGGTAATTCAGTAGAGATAATGAGCTTTTATCCGTTTTTGAAATCCTTAGCGGTTTTTTAATGTGTTAGGTAAAAATAAAAGCCTAGACCTTAGTTGTGTTACTACCACGACCCCAACCCCATTCTCATGATATGCTACTCATGTTTATTGTGTTTAGCACGACTCAAGGATAAACTCTTGCCCAGGTAACTGAAAAGTATCACTAATCGTGGCCATACATCATCGATGATAAACGGTGGATCTACCTGAGGCGTACGCCCACGTCCTATAGCATACTCCACCAATTTGTTTCTCTACATGAATTTTGGCTTGGCGTTCTCTCTCTAATTTGATACGCAATGTCTAGCTAGTCACAGTTTCTTATCAAATTTTTTACATTTTGCTAAGTTTACTGTACAATACCAATTTCTCCCTTATATTCCTTTTGGGGTTTCTCAGTAGAAGTAAGGCACACCTCTAGCGTTTGCTTAGGGATTTTTTGGTGTTGGAAACTTTATTATAGTTTGAAAATTTATTTTTAGTTTTAGTTATAAAATTTAAAATTTGAAAAATAGTATTGTTCGTTCAGATCAACAAATATTTAAAAAATCTTGAAAATAGACAATCCTTGGCTTTTTACGAGATACATTATTTTTGGATTTGGCATTCTCTTTTTCTTCATGTTCATATATCTTGAGGTCGAGATGATCAATTCGAAGGTTATCCAATCCTGATACCTTCTCTTATGTAAGATTTTTGTGGTGCACCTTACTTCAATCGTATAAGATTGCAATCTTACATGAACGTCTTTTTATTATTATTAACATTTCCTCTTTCCTAATTTGTCAAATTTATCCAGTACAAGCAGCGACAAACCAGTTTGCACCTCTAAACCCAGGAAGCATGCCCACCAACCATTAGATGGTTTAATTCTTTTAAGCCATCCACGTGGAGACACCAGAGCCAATCATTTTTATGAGGGGAACGACTGGACGTGTACTTTGTTGGCACGTGTCACATTTGAACTCTTTCCCACCAATAATTCTTCTCCGTTTCACCATCCCACAAAATAGAATACAGTGGAAAGATATGCAGAAAATACAAACCCATGCTGTTTAGGTTAGAATGGAGAGCTACAACTACAAGTCACCTTGAATTATCATGAAAGGCACACAAATAGATGCATTTAGTTTTGGTACATGGATGTTAGAATTACTCTTATTTGTTAGATTGTAAATCGGGTGACTATAAGTATATCATTGAATATGTTCAAAGTTCAAAATAAATTTTTCGAATACAACCCAACCGATGCAATTTGATACGGTTAAAAGTGATTGCGATTTTCTTGTATTAAAAGTAACCGATCTTATAATATGCAATCCTAAACTATAATGTTTATATAATGTTTAATGACTAGTTTAAAAATATGTTTATAACGCAACGGATGGGCTTCTTTGTTTACGTTAGAGCAATGATGGTGTGGAGGAGGAAAACATAAAATAAGGGTGAGAAAGAAAAGAAAAGATGGGAACATGATAAAAAAAGGGGAAATATGGACAGAGCAGATGAGAATTTAAAAATATTGTATTATTCCATTTTATAGAAAGGGTTGGTTTTTCAATTTAACAATCGTTACTTCTGCCATTTTGAAAATAATGGGCAGTTTTCCTGATTTTTTACCTACTTGTATTGTCAAAAAGCGAAGAGACTAAAATGGCTGTTATGAAGGAAATAACAGCCATTATATATCGTGCAAACCTTTTATTAACCCTCTACTAGTCACCCCGTAGATGTGGTTTGTATAAGGTGTCAAGCTCAAACAATTCAAGGCGACTCTTCAAATTATGCTAAAACCTATAGTTTGGTGTCGGAACATTTGTGTAATGCCCTAAAAAATTTATTTTCATCCTTAATCATAAAATTTAAAGCTTTAAAAATATTGCAAATCGAGTATATTTATAAACACTTAAAATTCTTGAAAATAGAGGTCCAGATAATGTGCTACAAGCTACACTACTTTCAAAACTTGAAATTAATTTATTTTTTTCATATTCATAGGTTAAAATTATCAATAAGAAGGTTTTGCAGTATAAAAACAATTAGTTCTATCAGGTTTTTGAGGTGTGCCTTGCTTCTATAATATGAGATCGACACTTTATATAACCTTTTTCCTTTATAAAATTAACCAAAACAAGGAGCCCTTTAGTTAGAAACCTGGTTTTAGGTTTGAATTATGTAGGGTGCAGATGGTTAATTAGTTTGGCCTAATTTTGATTAAAAAGGGCAGAAATTCGATTCCCCAATAGAAAATCTAAAGGCGAGACCAAAAAATTCTAATAGACCAGGGCTCTGGATTCAAGAACCAGTGGCCGTTTGAGACATTGATTTTACCTTTTTTAATAATATATCTTGCACTTTGAGCCTAGGCACTTGGTCCATACCTCGTAATAGCATGTGCATTAATTTTACTGACCTTTTTGCCCATACTGTTGACTCTAGCGAAAAAGAGAGGCCTGCGCCATAAGTTTGTCTATTACATTTTAAGTATGCAATGTAAGGAAAAAGTTTATATAGTGCCGGGGCTCTAACCGATCAAATTAGAGCCTACAGGGAAAATTTCACTAGAAGAGGTTTTTTTAAAGCTCAAATATCTTCAAATTGATCATCTCGACATCAAGATGAGGTTCTTTTAAAGCTCAAATATCTTCAAATTGATCATCTCGACATCAAGATGCATAGACGTTTACGCATATAGACCATATCGAAATTTGGGCTTTGATGAAAATCAATTAAAACTAACTTTTTAACTATTTTGATTTGTTGGATCTGTCAATTTTGACTTATTAAACATGCTAAATAGAATTAATGTAGTTCTTCATTATAAATTTATATTTTTATTTTTAAAATCCCAACCCAACTAATTTGATTAGCCTCACCAGTTTAGTTGGGTGGCTGGTAAGATTGTCATAGCATAGATTTTACCACATTAATCTAGGGGTTTGGATCTCACTTGACATTCGAATCTTGGTTGTGGGTTCATCAATGAAGGAAATATGAAAGAAGTTTTGTAGATGGAACATTTCGACTCTCACTCACAATGCCGAGTTTATTGAGGCTTTGGGTGCAGTTTGTATACAGGCGAGACTCTAAATAACCAAAGTAAAGTGCACCTTAAAATAATGTCGAAAAATGTGGTTTCAATACTAGAAAGTTTTGTGATAGTGTAGATCGAGCAGATTTATGAAAACTTGAAAATTGTCAGTCAAAAAATGCATTGCAAGATGCACTACGTCCAAAACTTGAAATCCATTTTTTTTTTTTCATGTACATGCATCTTGAGGTATAGATGATCAATTTGAGTATATGCGGACATAAAAAACAACCTCTTCTAGTGAGGATGATCAATTTGAGTTTATATGAACATCAAAACAACCTCTTCTAGTGAATTTAATTTGATTGTTTAGAGCCTCACACTTATATACACTTTTTCCTATCAATAAACACACCACAATTAATCCCCACCCAAATTTAATGTGAAAACAACCCTAAAACATTTCAAGAAATGCAAATGCAAATGCAAATGCAAATGCAAATATGAGTGGAGGTGAATAACCCAAAACTTATCAACCACTTCATAAGAAATAGAACTAGAAACCTCCAATCCAAAATTTTTATTATCCTTAGCCATCTTTGGCCCTGGGGTCTGCCACGTGTCCTCAGCCAATCCTGATTCTGTGGCCGTTAAGAATTCGTGAGCCAATCCACAGGATTCCATGTCACCACACCCCCCATTACGTAACAAAGCAAATACCACCACTCTCTCTTTCTATAAGAGCTTTGTGCCCGTTTTCTCTCTCTACAAAATCGATCTCTTCTTCTGCAACTTGTCTGAGACTTGCTTGCTTTGAAGCTTCTGAGCACCAACCCATCCATGGCGACCTCTGTTGCCTCAATGAGAGCCATTAACATAGCACAGGTAGCCTGTTTTCCACGCCCCTTTTACCCCCACCTTGATATCATCGGTTTCGCCTCTTTCTCTCTCTACAATTTGATTACTGTACAGCTATATTTGCAGTCAACTGGGTGTTAGAATTCATGGTGTTTATGTGATTTTAGAGAGAATAAATATTTAGTAATGGGGTTCGACTGTTACTAATTTGTTGAGGAGAGAGTGGTTGGTGTAGATGGGTTTGAGAGTTTGGTGTTGTTGTGAGGAGAGAGAATGAGTTCTCTGTAGTTGGGTTCGAGAGTTTGGTTTCTTGGTTTTTGTGTTAGCAATCATGTAGTGTTTATTGGTATCATCGATATCTTAGTATCAAAATTTCCCCATAAATATCTCAATTCACACTGTCTTTTTCTTGTGCTTTTGGAGATAAAGTTCAATAATACAGAGTTACAGTAGTTAGAGAGAGAGAGAGAGAGAGAGAGAGAGAATGGTTTTTGCATCTCCAATTGAGAAATTTGGGCTGTTGGGTATTGATAAAACGTGCTCTCTGTTTCAGCTGAGCTTGCAGGGCTCTGGTTCAGGCCCTTCCGTTCCAAGCTCTGGTTTCTTAGGAAGCGGCTTGAAGAAGATCAACAACTCTGGTTCGATCCACTCGAGGCAACAAACAGGGAGCTTCAAAGTAGTTGCGGAGCTTGATGAGGAGAAGCAAACCAAGAAGGATAAGTGGAAGGGTTTGGCCTATGACATCTCTGATGATCAGCAAGATATTACAAGAGGAAAGGGAATGGTGGACACTCTCTTTCAAGCTCCACAAGGGGCTGGTACCCACGATGCTATCATGAGCTCTTACGAATACATCAGTACCGGTCTTCGCATGTAAGTGAATCCCCCCTCTTCCCTCTCTCTCTCTCTGGGCTTGTTGGCCTGAATTTTTGTGGCATCTATATTGGGTAACTTTTGTGCAGGGAATGGATCTTTTGTACAGTGAGCTTCTTTTTTGAAGTTCTCATTGAGTTTTAATCACTGCGCTACACGGACTCGCCTACTTGGGAAGCCTGTTTTTAGCTGGTTTAGGGGGTCTAACCACCAGGGGTTGCCTTTGCCTGACCTGCCCAATTAGGCCTCCTACTAGGTTGGGTTTCCTTTAACCTGGCCAGTTAGCCGGGTTTGCTCGGTTACATCTAAGTTTGGCGTTTGAGCTCGGGATCTTAAAAAAAGTTAAAAAATTTATAAAAAAATCCAAAATATAAGAAATTTATTTATAATATGTTTTTTTTTCTTTTTTATATATTTTCTATTGTTTTGACAAAGATTGGAGAGTGCTTTGGCCATGAGTACTTATATTTCCATTTTCCCTCTGTTTTGGATTATTTCTAAAATACTTCTAGTGACAAATTGATTTTTCAAAATCTATTTTTTTACTACTTTTTTAACCTCATTTAGATGTGTGTTGTTTAATTTTACTTTAAACATATTTTTTTATATTTTTTTGGGTATTTTATATTTTTTGTTTTTTTAAACACTTTATGGCTACCTGCACGGTTAGGGCCTGGTTAGTCGGACCTGGTCTGGGTTACTTGGCCCCGCACAGGGCCGGGTTCTGTTCCCAGTTCATGATTTCCTACACTGTTAAACCATAAGATCATGGACCTTTAGATTGTGTTCAGTGGTTATGTTCCTTTTCCTTTGTGGATGGTTTGTGTAGGTATGATAACATCATGGATGGATTCTATATTGCTCCAGCTTTCATGGACAAGCTGGTTGTTCACCTCGCCAAGAACTTCATGCCCCTGCCAAACATTAAGGTGATCTCTCTCTCTCTCTATTACACAGAAATTGAAATTCAAGTTAACAACCTGTAACTTGTCATCAGGTTCCCCTGATTTTGGGTGTCTGGGGAGGCAAAGGTCAGGGAAAATCATTCCAATGTGAGCTTGTCTTCGCCAAGATGGGCATCAGGTGAGCCAATTTACTCTTTTCCTTACTTTTTCTATGTTCATTTCTCGTTCCCAAATTCAGACATCAAGTTAGGTATATTGAGACTAAAAAAATATAAGGGCAGTTTGAACATCCTCAATTTATTTGAACTGTAGTTTGCTTCAATAAAGAGGTTTTGGACTTGAATTCCCTCCTTATCCATCCAAAAAGAATGCAACAAAAAGAAATAATAAGTGGCTTGTAACTTTTTCAACAAATTTATGCATCGTGCCTATAAAAAGGAAAACAGTAAAAGAGAAATTAGTTTGAAGGAAAACTGGAAAAAAGGAAATGAGGTTTACTCTTGGTGCTTGGATTTCACCTTTTCAAATAATTCCTAATATTTCTTGTTCCCATAATAGGTTTTTCAGCCTTTCCTCTTTATTCGGATAGTGTGCAGAATTTTTTGACAAATTAACCAAATCCTCGGTTTTTTTCTTCCATCCTCGGTTTTTTTAAGGGCTTACATCTTGTTTCTTTTTGATCTGTTAATGGGAATACTCTGTTGTGCGTAGTTGATGTGAACATTCTAGGATATGACCAGATAAAAAACACAGAAGAAACCCAGCTATTTTTTCTCTAGGAAACCAAGATGGTATTGCAAAGAAACACAATACTGACACATATAAACAGACCAGATATTATTCAAAGTTATCTTATTTTACTGTTTTGGCATTCTTTTCCTCACAAACAATAAAGAAACACAAAGGAGGGCCACAGAGGGACCCAAAAGAAACTCATATACAAGTACATACAAAAGACTTGACTTGCTCATACATATAAAAATACCGAACTTACTGACACATATAAGGAAAACTAAACCTTTTTTTTCTCTTACTTTACCCATATTCTACTTTTCATAAAATATCAATTTTGCATTTCAGCCCCATTATGATGAGTGCTGGAGAATTGGAAAGTGGCAACGCAGGAGAGCCCGCAAAGCTCATTAGGCAAAGGTACAGGGAGGCTTCAGACATTATCAGGAAGGGAAAAATGTGCTGCCTCTTCATCAATGATCTCGATGCAGGAGCTGGAAGGCTCGGTGGAACCACCCAATACACAGTTAACAACCAAATGGTTAATGCTACTCTCATGAACATAGCTGATAACCCAACAAGTGTTCAATTACCTGGAATGTATAACAAGGAAGATAATGCTCGGGTCCCCATTATAGTAACGGGTAACGATTTCTCAACACTGTATGCCCCGCTTATCCGTGATGGTCGTATGGAGAAGTTCTACTGGGCTCCAACAAGAGAGGATCGTATTGGAGTTTGCGTCGGTATTTTCAAAGCTGACGAGGTGCCAAAGGAGGACATCATCAAACTCGTCGACACCTTCCCCGGCCAGTCTATAGGTAAAGGCTCAATCCCATTGCTTTCATGGAAAGAAAATAAAATCATTTGCATTGTTGCTTGTGTATTCTAACCCCATGTCAATTTCATCATTTCACGTAAAGTTGTGAAGAACACCTAGATTTTGTCTGCATTAGATCCCCTTCGAATTATAGTCCCCCCTTATTTCATCCATCAAGTCTAAAGAAATATTTTTCCTTTGCTCTTTAAATATAATTTGAATTTATAAATTGTCTAAAACGTTCTGCACATGCTAACTAGGAGCAACTTAAATTTTCTTTCATTGTTTATAGAATTCCCCTACTCTGTTGATGCACTTTTATATCATTACTTATGGCGTTTATTTTTTCTGAGTTTTTCCAAATGATTATGTGGGTGTGTCCTAGCACACGCTTGTTGTCAACACTATAGGGACTTGTTCCTGCATGCACACTTGTTCATGAAGACCCTGGGAGAAACACAAGAACCAAATACTCTCATGATAAATAAACTGCACTTCACTAAATATAAGCATATATTTGCCCTGTATTGTCTCTCTGTTTTAGAAGAACCTTATCTCACAACGTTGTTATCCCTATGTGTGTGTACAGACTTCTTCGGTGCACTCAGGGCAAGAGTTTATGATGATGAGGTAAGGAACTGGGTCACTAGTGTTGGAGTCGAGAGCATCGGCAAGAGGCTTGTGAACTCAAAGGAGGCCCCCCCAACATTTGAGAAGCCCAGGATGACTGTTGAGAAGCTCTTGGAGTATGGGCACATGCTGGTCCAAGAGCAAGAAAATGTGAAGAGGGTCCAATTGGCTGACAAATACCTTTCTGAGGCTGCTCTTGGAGATGCAAATGAAGATGCAATTAAGAGAGGAACTTTCTATGGTTAGCACTCCTATTCCTAGAGGGCCTTTATGGGAGGTTTGCATCTGGCTTCTATATGTAGTGGATGGAAAATAGTAGTTATTTATCAAGAATGAGTAGTTAAAAGAAATCAATGGACAAACAAATGGCATGGAGATAGATGATCATAATTAAGGACTTTTAAGATATGGGGGAGGAAGCTCATGGTGTTTATAACTGATTTGGATTGCAGGGAAAGCAGCTCAACAAGTGAACATTCCCGTACCAGAGGGTTGCACGGACCCAAACGCAAAAAACTTCGATCCCACGGCCAGAAGCGACAATGGCAGTTGCGAATATCAGTTCTAAAGCTCATTTTACAACTTTATATCTTGGTGGCCATGAGGATCATGAGGGAGAAATAAGTACGTGCTGTTGTATTTATCTTGTGGAGGTTATTTATGTATACTTTGTCCAATATTAGACTCCTTTTTTTTTGTGAAATGTTTTGCCATATTTGAGTGCAGTGTCTGGTTCCAAAAGTGTACATGGCCATATAGTTCTAAAATTTCCATGTTGCATTCAAGATTGAAGAATGGGGTGACATCTTCTGACATTAGTAAAGTGGACAACTTTGCACAACTATAACTCAGAAGTGAGTCACTTGGAATGAGCTTTTCCGATGAAATTATTATCTTTGTCAGAAGAGATTACAACTTACCAGGGAAACAAGTTAAGAATCGACACTATTTAGGCATTGTTCAAAGTCAAACATGGTTTAATGTTACAATTCACTACTTTTGGAGTAAGCATGATTGACAAAATGGGATAAACTGTAATCAGTCTGTTTTTTATTCCATCTCCCAAATTTGCAGAGCCGGACAATCCTTGCTGTTCATATGGAAAACCCAAATAGTTATGTCGTAAATTGCAGCTCACGCAAACACACACATCCGCTCTATCACAAAAATATCGCATCCATTGGAATCTGAAAGACTATGCATGTTAGCTTTTCTTAGATTTCAAACGCAAAGCGGGAGCTTGGGTTTAGAGAGTGGGCTTTGCATAGAAAGTGATAATCGCAATATTTGTTTGGTGATTATCACTAAAGCCAAGCTTCTCCAAGAGACTTACAACTGTCGAGAAAAATTATGTGGAAATCAAAAGATTTTATGCTCTCTTGTGCTCGATTATGTGTAGGATTTGAAGCTTTTGGGGATTGATCTACTCAACCTTGCAACTGGCCTCAAAAAAAAAAAAAAAAAAAAAGAAAGGAAAAAAGGAAAAAAAGGGCCATTGCTTATGCCTGAAAAGATAACAACATATGTTTGAATGGAGATAACCCAAATATTGGATGGTTAGATCAAAGTGGTTAGAAATTCTTTTTTTTCTTTTTTTTTGTCTTTTTGAAAATACTCATTTAGTGATTCTAAAGTAGATCCCAGAAACTTAGATTGAGAAAATTCTCCTAAGTAGGTCTTTTAAGAGTAAGTATATAGTATTTGCAGCCGGACCATGTATATACAAATAAGATAAGAAATTGGCAAAAAAGAAGATCAAACTACATACAACGTCAAAACCATGCTTGTGTAGTTTATTTTCTTGGAAAAGCCATGTTCCATTAATCACCAAGAATCGTGGTGACAAGATCTCTTTGTTGTTGTTTTTTTTTTTTTCTTATTTGTTCTTTTTCTTTTCAAGAATAGAGAAAATTGATTTTTCACACACTCTATTTTCTCTTTCAAAGGACACCCTTTCTTGAAGTTTGTTCTTCTATAAACCCCCAACCCTAACCTAAATCACAATGGGATTCCATTGTGAAATATCTTCATAAATTTAGGTTTTTTAGAAACTAGAAAGGAAGAGAGGATTCAAAACCACCACACAAAGACCATACAATGATCTCCAATTTGTTTTATATTTGCTTTGTCCTACTTGAAGAACACCTACACAGTTTTTCTCCAACAACCATAAAGACACTAAATATCATGGGTATATTTTGAGCAGTCTTCTTGATATATAATAATCATAAGTAAAATTGAACCTTGTCAAAACTTCCCTAATTAAAATGTTACCCCAATTTCACAAGTCCAGTCCTTCCTTGATAAACTTAATTCTTTTATGAACTTGTCGCACTTTGGCTGTCAAAATATACCTTTGATTTTTACTACTTATCTTCCAAACATATTGCACTTTGGCTTACACTTAGGCTTGTCCCAAATGCACCCAAGCTTGCTCACAAGACCCATATATCCTACTTGATATCCCTCAAAATAAACTTTGTAGACATCCTCTTCCCAATAATTTTAATATCATACGTAGACTCAAACATTGTTTTATTTTGTATTTACCCCTCCTCCCCTGGTCAATAAGTCAAAAAATTGAGACTAAAATGCCTTTCTCCTCTCTCGCTCTCTATATCCACCCTCTCTCTCTCTTTCTTTCTCTACTTGCCCCCTCTCACTCTCTCTATACGCTCTCTCTACCCCATGTCTCTACCCACCCTATCTCTCTACCTGCCCTCTCTCACTCTCTCTATACGCTCTCTATACCCCATGTCTCTACCCACCCTCTCTCTCTACCTGCCCTCTCTTTATCTCGCTTTCTCTCTACTTGTCCTCTCTTTACACAACCCTCTCTTTCTCTTTGTACCCACCCTCTCTCTCCTCTCTCTTGCTCTTTCTAGAGAGATTTCAAGAGAGAGTACAAAAAATAGGCAGAGAGAGATTTTGGTAGAGAGACGGGACAAAAATAGGTTGAGAGAGATTGGGAGAGAGCGAAAAAATGGGTAGAGAGAGATTGAAAGATAGAGAGATTTTTGGGAGAGAGAGAGGGGAAAAATGGGCTGAAAGAGATCGAGAGAGAAAGAGAGGAAAAAAATGGGTTGAGAGAAAAAACCCAATCCCTTCCAATGGGTAGAGAGAGAGAGAGAAAGGCCAGGTAGAGAGAAAGAGAGATAGAAGAGGGCTGGTAAAGAAAGTGAGAGAGGGCAGGTAGAGAGAGAGTGAGACAGAGGGTGGGTAGAGAGAGAAAGAGGGAGATGGCAAGTAGAGAGAAAGAGAAAGGGGGTGGATAGAGAGAGTGCGAGAGGAGAATAATACAATCTCAAATTTTTTGAATTTTTGATTGAGGGATGAATATAAGAAAAAACGGTGTTTGAGTCTAGGGTGTGATACTAAAGTATTGGGGGGAGGATGTCTACAAAATTCATTTGGGGGGATGGGTATCTAAAAATTGGTTTTTTTTAGGTCGATAAGTGGGGAATATAGGCCCTACACCTTCTAAAAATAGTTAATGACTTTCAAATACATCAATAGGAATAAAACGCTAGACCGATAGCTGAGGCTCATGTGGTGCTAAGTGCTAACACCACGACCTCAGCCCGGTTCACTATGTCCTCCTTGTTTTCCTCTACGGCTATTATGTAAGTTGCTTTAATAGTAGTGATAGTGATAATGATCATTGCATGCAATAATCACTTCCAACGAGCTGATCCACTACAATACTGAAAATAATAAGTAAAGGAACTATTGTAGTGAATCGGTTTGTTGGAAGTGGATCAGCTCGTTGTTTACTTTGTTTTGAGGATCAGCTAATTGGAAATGGATTAGCTATTGATCAATCCTTGCTACTAAGTTGAATGGATCGTGGCATGAACAAATTCTTGAATGCACATGATATTAACAAGGTCTAAAACTGTTTAGTCTCTCCACACCCTAAAGACTTTCGTGGTGGTATTGTCCGAGTTGGCCACCATCATCAATGCTATATTTCTCAAACATGACCTTCCACAGGCAGGTGAGTTCTAGACTACATCTTCATCACCATTTGGTGTAAGCTGTGTTCATGTCGGAGTTATTGTCTATTGTTGGCCTTTATTGTAGAATCAGTGAGGGAGGACCTAGAGGTGGTGGTTTACCCTGTGGCGGAGGTCAACGGTTGAGTTCACTTATAACCGGCTCATAATCTTAGCCAATACAAAGGTATATAATAGCACCCAATTTTTTCAATTTGGTAGTCTGTTTTATGATTTATCATTTATGAACGTTGATAAGATCCTTCCATTTAGCAGCACGTTAAGTAGGGTGTCATTCATGTCTATTAGTTTTATAAACCCGAGGCCTCCGTTCATATTTGGTTGTTGGCATCCTCCCATTTAATGAGGTGATACTTCCTACTCTTTCTCCCACCCTTAGATGGACAGATCTTACAAAAGAAAGTAGAGAGAGTAGTGCAGGGACCAAGAAATTGTAAGGAAAAGAGATAGGAAAGGAGGTTCCTTCAGATTGCATTCAGACTACATATGAATGTGAATTGCAATGAAAAGAGACAGTAAAGGAGGTTCCTTTAGATTACATTCAACTATATATGAATATGATTATAATTGTTCCATGCACTCTAATGTTCATATATTCAATCACATATGAATTTGGGATTACATTTGAGTTATTCTTATCGTGCAACAGGTTTTTTTGCAGTTAGCATTGGATTAAAACACACATGAAAAGGTTGAGATATAATCGACTTTTTTTTGCAAAACATCGAACCCACTGCTTATCGCTATTCCATCCAAGTATTAGGCTATGAGAAGGCATCTTTAACTCAACAAACCACATCTTCTCTCTCAAAATGGAGGTTCTCTTATGAGGAGAATCCCTCTCCTTGCCAATCTTTGGCATCTATGACTAGAGGGAAATAACAAAACTTTTAGGCTCTGTTGGATCCTAAAAAACTAGTGTTTGTAAAACACAATTCTTGCGGAAAACATTTTCTGTAAAATGAGGTTTTGTTGTTTAGATAGCATCTGGATGCACTCTGGAAGATGCATTCCTACTGTTTGGATCACTTGGATGAACCATTTCTCAGATAAATTCATCATACTAGTGTTTACTTATTTACTCGTATAGTATAGGTTAATTTTTCACTACTTTGTGAATCATTGTAATGTGATTTTTCTTTTTTTGGTTGTTCATACCATTTTTTAAAAACTATTAAGATATGCCCAATATAATTTTATCATTTGAAGAGATTGCACTGTATCTGACGAAATTTGATGTTTTGTTTGTGGGGTTCTTAAGCAATTCATGAGAAAACACATCACAATTCAAGATAGATACAAACAACATCCTGACAAGAGGAGGATATTGAACAAAGCTTTATTTTATTTCTAGGTAAATCGATCTTTCGATATCCATTGATATCTTGTTAAGTACATTAACTAACTCAAACAAATGGAGGGGTGAATTAAGTCTGTTTACTCGGATGAAAATGATTTAAACTTGTACTGCCCTCTTACTGGCATCTCAAGTTCACCGCTTATTTACTATGTTCATTTCTCTGATTCACAAGATGGGAAGCCCGGGAAAACCTTAATTCTAGTATGAAAGCATGACCAATGTTAAACCTTTGATATTAATAATATGGGACCCATGGTGTTGTCTCTCATTCCTAGGCAACTAACTTGGGTGCGCCACCGCTAGTATATTGTTTGGCACGTTGGCACGTGGCATCCTATTTTGAGTGGGCTAGAGACAAGGGACAAGAGATAATGAGGGAGAAGAAAGAGAGTAGAGGTCTTAGTGTGTCTAGGGGAGGAAAAATCGGTCGGTCCAAATTCTAACCCTTTGGTTAGACCTGGTTAGATCGGAACTCGTCAGTAGCCGGTTTCGATTTCGATCCGGTTTAATGAATTGGTGAGGTATTTTAAAAAAATTCAAAAA